CTAGTCCAAGTGATCAATTTCAGTTCACAATTGATCATAATGAAAGGACTAAGAGTCAAAGGGAGCACATAAACAAGTCTAGTACCTGCTAACACTAACCGATGGAATAAATAAAGGGGAGAGTGATCCAACATGGGAAGTGAGATACTCAGCAGACTCATAGAATGGCAGATGTCCTAAATAGCACTCTGGCCTCAGAATCAGCCCTAAAGGCACTCGGATCTGGCTGAAAAGCCCATGAGAGTATTTCAGGCATGGAAAGCCAAGACACTCTGGCAAAAGATCTCTGCGAGTGAGATCCCAGTGGAAAGAACAGGTCTTCAAAGAAGGAGGTACCTTTCTCTGAAGGGAGGAGAGAACCTCCACTTTGACTATGACCGTGTTTAAAGAAGACAAGAATTGGAGAACTCAGAGGGCTTCCATAGCCTTGGAAACTCATGACTGGAGCATAGGGAGATTACTGATGCCATAGACAGGAGTGTCAATTGGTAAAGTCAACAACAGGAGTCACTGTGCACTTACTCCTCATGTAGGATCTCTGTCCTTAATGTGCTGTGTATTGAGATTTAATGCTATAACGAGTACTCAAACAATATAATTCACTTTGTGTTTCTATGGGGGTGCAAACTGTTGAAATCTTTACTTAATGTATACTAAACTGATCCTCTGTAAAAAAAAAAAAAAGAAGAAGTTATCAACTCCCAACTTGACTCTCACTGGGATTAAACATGACAATAGGTCTGATCTGATTTCATCATCATTAAAAAAAAATCATCTATTATTTTTCACTTTATGTTTCTGTGTGGGAGCAAACTGGTGAAATCCTTACTTAATGTATACTAAGCTGATCTTCTGCATATTAAGATAATCGAAAATGAATCTTGATGTGAATGGAAGGGGAGAGGGAGTGGGAAAGGGGAGGGTAGTGGGTGGGAGGGACGGTATGTGGGGGAAGCCATTGTAATCCATAAGCTGTACTTTGGAAATTTATATTCATTAAATAAAAGTTAAAAAAAATAAAAAATAAAAAAATAAATAAATCAGCCAATTATATAATTATTTAAAGAGTTTTATGTATCTAAATTATATCTCACCAAAAAGCATTACACATAGACTAGATAATGGGAAAAAAACATTTGGTTAATTCTGAATCTAAATCTAACAGATCAAAGTAATGTATATTCACTATTTTAAACATGATACTGATTTATTTATATTTAATGATAATAAATTGTTTTATCATCCTAAATATCTTTGATAAGGTATCTTTTTAAAATAATGTTCTTATTGTACTTGAATTTTTTCTCCTGGAAAGTTTATTTGTCTTGTCCTACATGATTTCCTACCCTTTAGAGTGATTTGGAATTGTAAGACTTGGGTTTCAGTTCTCTTCTCCATGAAATATGCATTGTGCTGTAGAACTTGACAGAAAGACTCTGGAACTCATTTGTGTGACCCAAGTTAAGACAGAAACTGGTGTATACTCAACAGACATGGTGTAATAGCCTGAGTCCAACTAGAAGGCAAAGGCTATATAATAATTTGAACAGAAGAAATTCATTAAGAAGAGTTGTTAAATTATGATGTAAAGTTGTAAAGAGAACACTATCTAAAGGATATACTAAGGCTAAAGGAAGGTGTCCAAGAAAAAACAAACTCAAATTCTCTGGTTCTGAAAATTCATCTGGGAAATGTAGCTGCAGGCAACTGAATGACTGAGAAGTTTTCTGGCTGTCCCAGGTTAGAAGAGATCCACAGCCAGAGCCAACCAAGAAACAGCGTTCAAGGGTGCAGGTAAACTCAGTCTGGTGGGTGGATGTTCAGAAAGGTGTAGATGTTGTTGCCCATGTGAGACTCAAGAGTGTGTGCTGTTCTCCTTAGAAGCAATGCTGGACCTAATCACTAGTCCTGTACTTTGGTGTCAAGGTTATGGAGGGACTGTGCACCCTAGGCATGCAGCTGGCACATAGCACTACTGGATGTCCCCCATAGACAAGTACCAGGGGATTATGAAGCAGGAGTAAGAGAAAACAAAATTTGTTACATCAGATAGAAAAACAGGACCTCTTTCAACTGCAATATTTTTCCAGCATTATTTATAGACAAAACTTCACATCAGGTTCACAATGCAGAGGATATGTTTAGTGTTTAATCCACTCTTACAGAGTAGGCCCTAACATATGGATTTGGCAGAGAGGTAGTAAACTGGCAACTGATGCACTCAGCTTCTTTGCTCCCTGGGCATGTGGTTTGACCATATTTATCAGCTCCCCTTGTAGTTCAGTGGGGGTGATTGAGATCCATTTTGACCAATGAGATAGAGATAGAAGTGACATATTTCCAGATCTTTTCCCAGTAAGCCATGTCTGCTCCTAAAAACACCCACCCACAAAACTAGAAATGAAATATTCAAAATTCCCAGTGGATAGCAAATCCACATGATAGAAATATCCTGGACCCTTGTGTCATTCTTCGAGGAGACGTCATTTGACAGGAGATACTACTTGTTAGGAAAGTCACTTGACGGATCATTGAATTTGAGGCTGTTGCACGAATCAAAAACAATTATTTATGGTGATCAACCTTTGGAATTGTGGAGCTACTTGTAATATTATTTAGTCTCTTTTTTTAAAAAAATATTTATTTGAAGGTAGAGTTACAGATGGAGTTAGGGAGAGACAGAGAGAAAGGTCTTCCATCCCCAGAATCATTCCCCAGATGGCTGCAACAGATAGAGCTGAGCCGATACGAAGCCAGGAGCTTCTTCCAGGTCTCCCACGCGGGTGCAGGGGCCCAAGCACTTGGGCCATCTTCTACTGCTTTCCCAGGCCATAGCAGAGAGCTAGATTGGAAGAGGAGCAGCCAGGACTAGAACCGATGCCCATATGGGATTCCAGTGCTGCAGGTGGAGGCTTAGCCAACTATGTCACAGCTCCAGCCCTTTAGTCTTTTCTGACTAACCAGGAAATAGGCTGAAATTCAGTGCCACTGTAACAATAACATGAAATATGTGGTACTGGCTTAGTGGTCAGATGGAAGGCAACAAAGAATGAGATATGGGAAATGAAAAGCTGATATCCCATGTTACACAATAGCAAAATATTTGGTGAACCATGGCTGCGTTATTTGGAAGGCAGACCTCCCTAATGGCCTTATGTAGTTGAGAAGAAACTGATACAATGTGTTCACTTATTCACTGTCTTTAACAAAACATTGCAAGCAATAGTGAGCTCAGAAGGAAACTGATCAGTTTCTTAGCATGTGCTGTGGCACAGCAGTGCAGTGGGTTAACACCCTGGCCTGAAGCACCGGCATCCCATAGGGCACTGGCTCGAGACCTGGCTATTCCACTTCCAATCCAGCTATCTGCTGTGGCCTGGGAAAGCAGTAGAAGATGGCCCAAATGCTTGGGCCCCTGCACCCTCATGGGAGACCTGGAAGAAGTTCCTGGCTCCTGGCTTCAGATCAGCACAGCTCCAGCCATGGCAGCCAACTGGGGAGTGAACCATCGGATGAAAGACCTCTCTCTTTGTTTCTCTGCCTCTCTTTTCTCTGTATAACTCTGACTTTCAAATAAATAAATAAATCTTTAAAAAAAGAAATTGATCAATTTCTAAGTAACAAGGACAGGCAGGCAGGACAAGGAACTCAGAAATTGGGCATTACTGAGTTGGAAAGTTATTTCTAGCTCTCAAACAGTAATACATATGACAGTGGTTTTGAGAGACCACAGACTAATACTGTTTTATATGTGGTAAATAATAAGTTAATTTCTAGGCAAGGAGTTTCCTTTAAGTTGCCTCAGTGTAGTCAATATTAATTTTGGAAAGAGACAAAGAGAGGGGCTGGCATTGTAGTGCAGTGGATTAAATAACCACTGCTGACTCCAATCACAGTTACTCTGCTTCTGTTCAAGCTTCCTATTAATGCTCCTGGGAAGGTGGCAAAAGATGGACCAAGTGTTTTGGCCCTTACCACCAAAGTGGGAGACGAAGAAGGCGTTTCTGGCTTCTGGTTTCAGCCTGACCCATTTTTGCCTCAAATCATCATCTGGAGAGTGAAAAAATGATATTTGCTGCAGAGAGTGAAAAAATGAATGGAAAAGTGTGTGTGTGTGTGTGTGTGTGTGTGTGACACTCTGCTTTTCAAATAAATAAACCTTTTTTAAAAAGAAAGAAAGAGAGAGAAAGAGAGCCAAGAATTTTTGGGAGGGTAAGAAACAGGTACAGGGCCAGAAAGCTGAACAGAAAGGCATGCTTGAAAAGTATATGTAGAAAAGGGCTACGGGCATGACTGGTTACAATGAAATGACAAGAAGCAAACAATTCGGGAAACTACCAAGGAAAGGGGTTGACAAATCTGTGTATTCCCCAAAGAGGACACATATCCCAGTGTCTTCTTCAGGTTGGCCAAAGAAAGTGGCCACAGGGCTGAGTCTCCTGAGGGCAGAGTCAGAAGCTGCAAAACACACTGGACGAGTTTCTCGAAGAGAATATAATGGGAGTCAATTGAAACAGCAGCCTTTTCACCAGGGTAGGAGTTCTTCATATTGTCAATCCAACAGGATTTCCGAATTGCCATGACCCAGCAACAGCTGCACTTCCTGTTCTTTGTCTTTCCAAATGGGTTACTGTGACTAGTCTATGTTGGGTATTATTGTGGTGGGATAGGTCATTTAATTTTTACTTCCTGTATCACTGGATCCCAGGGATCTACATCTGAACCTGGCAGGGAGACCTCAGGACTTTGAACTGAAAGCGAGAACTGGATGTCACATCAGGAAGGGATAGGTGTTTTCTATGGGTAAGAGAAAGAATGAAATGGGTATATGATGATCACAGGCAGATATCAGCAGACTTTAGAATCAAACTCTATTGCCTCTTCTCCTTGTGCAGAAAATTAAACTGGTGATGTGTTCCCTTTCTGAGTTCTGGCCAGCAGAATGTGGGTACAAGTGCTGCTTTCAAGTCTGCCCTCTATTCGTTTTTTTGCCCTCCTAGAAGCAGAAAGCAAAGGACTCCCTGATCCTAGGAGACAATGGAGCCATGAGATGAAAAAAGTCTTCATGTCATCATTTGGAAAATAATTGCTCAGAAGACCCACTAGACAAAGAGCCTTCATGTAGAACTATTGTCTGAGTGAGAAGTACACTTTTATTTCAACTGAAACCCCTTTGTGGTTGCTACAGCAGTTAGCCCTCCCAGACAGAAGCTCAGAACCTGCTTGAATGAGGCTATGGAGTCAGGGCATGAGTCTGTTTTAAAAAGAGTGGTGAAGATTTGGGGGAAAGGGTAGAAAAGTACAGAACAGAAAACCAAAGTCTGGTGATAAATGGAATTAGGAAATGGAAGGGGAATTAGGGATCAGAGAAAGGAGAAACAAAATGAAGCAGGCAAGGCATGATGATGATGTATTTCTATAACCAACTGCTGCTACTTGAGCAGACTTCTGAGTATTAGAGCATAGTTTAGCTTTGACAGTATGATTTTGGGCACATAGTTTGATCCCTGTCACCATAGAGTAGCCATTTAAGTTATTATCTGAGCTAGAATTATATTCAGGAGTGTTGGAGATGCTATTAATTATTACCACAGAACAAAAGACAGAAACCACTGCAATTGTGCAGAAACCAGATACATGATTGTACTTCCTGTACTTAGAGTTCTGTACAGTTTTAAGATTAAATAAGCAAAGTCAGACAAGTAGAAACTCTTTCTACATGGAAGAGGGCTCAAACCCTTCTGATTGTTATAATCCTAGTGACTAGTTTAATATCAATGAATGAATGAAACATCTCTGCATTATATCCTTGATGGATTTCTAGGTATCTATTTATTTTTTCTTAATTTATTAACAAGAGAAATTTATTTTTCACAGCTCTGAAGGCTAGAAGCCCAGGACCAAGATGCCAGGAAAATCCATGTCTAGTGAGGATTTGCTCTCTGTTTCCAAGATGGCACCTTGTTGCAGATGGAAGGTGAGAACAGCTACCTTGCACCTTTTTTCACTCCATGAAGGTGGAGTGTTCATAACTGAATCACCTCCTAAAGGACTCACTTTGTAATAATATCACTTTGGCAATTAAGTTTTAATATATACAGTTTGAAAGGATACATTCAGTAGGTATTCATTTCTTAAAGAGGAACTTGGATGGACCTGTAGGGACTTTGAAACAAATCCTGTTCACTGTGTGTTGTTAGGACAGATCTCCTTTGTCACCCACAAAGGGAAGATCTTTATCCCTCCCCCTCCACAACATGTCTCTGTGCATAAACAGCAATATCGTCATGGTAGGGAGCAATTCATTTTCATGTCTACCTCATGAAGAGAGGCCTGCGGTGTGGTTGCAGCTGAGTGCAAAGTGCAGATTAGGAAGTTAAGTCCCACTCTCTTAATGCATTAACATGTTCTCCATTAAGTTGCTTTACCAGGGGAGTGATCCTGGGGCTCAGGGAGCTTTCCTGCTCCAGGCTTTTGTCTCCTGGGGCCATTTTCAGAGGGGTGCCAGCCCAGCTCTGTTCCATTTGTAGTTTCTCCCTATATGTGTCTCTGGGACATTTGCTGCCCATGTTCTCTTTCCAGTTCCTCCTTTTTCAGCCCCAATTTAGAGAAATCCAAAGTTAAAATAATTGGATAGACAATTTTCATAATTAGTTTCTTAGCGATGAGACTAAACACAAAGTGGAATTTCCATGATGAATGTGAATGTTGAAAGGAACATCAGGAGATTGTGTGGCCCAGGTCCTTTCAGTCTGGCTAGGAGGAAAGTTATAACCACCAAGGAGACGCAGGCTTCTGAAGAGCCTGACGACTGCGGCCCCATTGGATGTGACTGTCTGTCACGTCAAATCACAGTAGAGTGTTTCCTCAAGATCACAGAAAGTCTCTATAATAAGTGCTATGAGTTGCTTCATAAAAACGAATTAGCATGCGTAAAGTCTTTAGAATAATGAGTATGTAAGTGCTGTGTATTAGCTTTATTATGATTCTTAGTAGTGGTGAACTACTGCATAATAACCAAGATTAGTTGGTTTTATAACACTACATATTAGTCATATATACATACACTATGTGTAATACTAATATATTAGAAAATATGCTAACTTATTATTTGAAAGTTGAAAGAATTTAGCAAATTTTATGATTAAAAAAAAAGAAGAAATTCAGGGTTGGAAAGAGGGAGTCCTTGGGCCGGCACCGTGGCTGACTTGGCTAATTCTCTGCCTGCTGCACAGGCATCCCATATGGGTGCTGGGTTCTAGTCCTGGTTGCTCCTCTTCCAGTCCAGTCCAGCTCTCTGCTGTGGCCCGGGAAGGCAGTGGAGGATAGCCCAAGTGCTTGGGCCCTGCACACGCATTAGAGATCAGGAGGAAGCACCTGGCTCCTGGCTGCAGTTCGGCACAGCGCTGGCTGTAGTGGCCATTTGGGGGGTGAACCAACGGAAGGAAGACCTTTCTCTCTGTCTCCTCTCTCACAGTCTAACTCTATCTGTCAAATTAAAAAAAAAAGTTTTTAAAAAAAAAAGAAGTGGAGCAATCAAGACATGAACTGGTGCTTATGTGGGCTGCCAGTGATATAGGCAGAAGCTCAGCCTGCTAAAAAAAAAAAAAAAAAAAAAAAAGAAAGAGGGAGTCTTTGACCTGTGTATTGGTGTTTGGGGTGAGAAAGGAGGTAAGGTGTCCACAATCACTGAATAAGTGATTCATGTTTGAGAGTGCCCTCAATATTTGGTAGAAATATTTGTTCCATATTATTCCACATCACCCTAGTATCTATAGATGGGAATTAACATTCAGACAAGACTTGTTCTCTATTTAGAGAAGTTCTGAAGAGTACTCTGAAATCTTTCTACCTGATTCCAGATCCTGGATCTGCATCTCCTTCCGTATATGACCCTGAGCAAGTCACTTAACATCCTTGCAGCTCCTTTCCTTATCTGTACCATGACAATAATAACGCTGCCTGCTTGGTAGGCTTCTTTGGAAGATTAAATTAGCTAACACGAGTTAATAAGTTAAAGTACTTAGAACAGTATCTGGTACAGTGATCACTGTATATGTGTGCACTTTAAGTTTTATAGTCTCTATGGTGCATATCTAAGAAAATAAGTGTTTCTACCAATGCAATAAGGTAACTTAGGGGGTAGTGAGTTCACTGCCCACTGAGGGCAGGGCATAGGGTTCACACACTCATACAGCCTTGGGGGTATCATATGTAGCTGAAAAATATATTTAAAATATCAACCAGTGTTATTCTTCTCAATTTTTTTACTTTTTTTTTTTAATTTTCATTGTATTTGAAAGGCAAAGAGACAGACTGACAAACAGAGAGGGACCTTCCATCCACCGGTTAACTACCTAAATGCTCACAACAGCTGGGTCTGAGCCTGGCCATAGCCAGGATCCAGCAGCTCAATCTAGGTCTCCCTCAGGGTTAGTAGGTACTGAGTACTTGAGTCATCACCTGCTGTGTCCCAGGTCGTGCATTAGCAGGAAGCTGGATTAGAGACAGTGCTGAGATTCTAAGCAAGCACTTTCCACAACATGAACTAGCATCTTAAGCACTGTTAGAAATGCCTACCCACAACAAAGTTTTTTCGTAGCATTTCTCCTATGTCCCATCTCTTCTCCAACCCAACTTCATAATATGTCTTTAATTGGGACAACTCTACTCTGAGATATCTTTATTTATTTTTTTGAGAGGGGAGGTAGGAGGGACACCAAAAACAGAATAACAGGGTGGGTGATTAGCCTAATGGTTAAGACATCACTTGGGACACATCCCACATCAGAGAGCCTGAGTTCAATGCCTAGTCTTGCTCTTGACTCCAGCTTTCTGCTATTGCAGATCCTGGGAACCAGCAGTAATTGCTCAAGTAATTTGGGTTCTGTCACCCATGTTAGAGACCCAGATTGCATTTCTGCCATCTATCTTTGGAACCAGGTTGATTTCTGAACCGCAAGTGCCTTTGCAGGCATTTGAGGAATGAAGCAGCAGAGGAGAGTGTCTATCTCTCTGCTCAATAAACAAACAAATAAATAAATAAATCCACAAAAGCATAACAACAAGAGAGAAAGGAATATCTTCTTGATGGTGTGTGTATGTGTGTGTGTGTGTGTGGTTCCATAGACTTGACCTTGAGAAGACATGTAAAGGATAGAGGGTATAGAAAAAACATGACTATAATACAAATTTGGAGAACCTGGGACAAGGTAAGTATGCTGTAGGCTTGGGGGTGGATATCAGGTATAGAGTACATATCTGTTGTATTTAGAAATAGTGTCCTGTATTTTCCTCCAAGCCAAGCCCTGAAAGGGCAATTACCTTAGATGGACTCAAGGGCTTGACAGCAGGGTTATGTTTGGGTCTGAGGTAGACTCAGAGCTCCTTCTCACGCACAGCATAGCAGTAACAGATAGTTGAAGGACCTCTTGGACTAGAATGAGATAACATGCTTGGACCAAAGACAATTCTCCAGGAAGAATGGCTTCCTCGAACAGATAGCAAGGGAAAACTAAGGATTATATTCCTGTTCCCCATAATGTGTATATTATAGGTCCACCAGAATTCAGACATAACCTCAGGAATGGGAAAAATCTAAAACTTCATGGGTTTGTGGTCTAAGTAGTCACACAGGACTCTGTACTAAGAATGGTCCAGCACAAGGTTTAATGCTGTGCTGTCACCATCTTAAAATCCTTAACTGCATTTTCATTTTGCACTGGGCTCTAAAATTGTGTAATCATTTCTGCCTGTCTTCTATTAACTCCCTTCAATCCCAGGAGATAGATGGATTCAAATAGAAAATAAATTGATTAGGAAAAAAATCAAGTTACATTTATGTGTATCTGAGTTTCCAAACTGATTTCTGTGCCACTGCAGCAAAGCCATGGCCAAATGGAATAAGGTGAATCATGTTCAACAATGAGTGGTGACATTTGGCTGGGATGCAGACTGTACAGGTAAGGAACAGATAAACTGGAAAGCAGGGTTGGAAGTGAGCATGGACAATCTCAATGCCTCCACAGTGCAGAACAGCAGAATTGAGACAGCTGAGAAATTTGGAATCACACAGGAGCTTGGAATACATAACCATGTTCAAGAGTGTCATAAATGAGTATAATATAAAGAGCAGCACCATAATGAACCCTTTAAAATGGAGAAAACAGGTAGGAGAGAAAACAGGTAGTACATTGATTTCAGGTAAGCCTGACACTAAATCCTAGCTCTGCTCTATCAGTTGGAGAGTACCAAGCATCCATTTCTCCTCAAAAAAGGGTAAGCTCCTATCTTTTACTTTGAGGGTTTTTATGAGGGTAATCTGAAATGACACTCATGAAGTATATACTGTTGAGCACAGAGTAGGGACTTTTTAAACTCAGTGTACATAATCCCAATGAGAATATTTGAAGGGGCGGGTATTTGGCATAACAATTAAGATGCTACTTGAGATGCTTAGATCTCCTATCAGAATGCCTGGGTTTAAATCCTGCCATGCTTCCAATCCAGCTTCCTGTTAATGTGCATCCTATAAGGCCAACTGCTCAGGCACTTGGGTTCCTGACATCCACATGGGAAACCACAACTGAGTTCTCCACTCTTGGTTTCAATCTGGCCAAGTCCTGAATGTTGCAGTTTATTTGCTGAGTGAAAGAGTAGATGGAAAACTTCTTTCTCCTCTGCCTTTCAAATACATAAAAGTTAAAAAAAATGTTTGCAAGTGAACTTATCTATCTTTAGTTTGAACATCCAGTATATGAAATGCTATCATCTTTATGGGCCATATGTAGGATATTTTATTATTCAGCAAATGAATAAATAGTGAACATACATTTGCAAGAAAATGATCCAGTGTGGGTACAGGGCTGTGGTACCCAACAGTCATAGTGGGTGTGGAGTTAGGGGGTCTATCTCAGTCCCACCCAGTAATGTCTGTTCCCTCTTGAAAAGAGAAAGAAAAAAGATCACATGGAATTA